TTATATTATCTTGTTAAAGAAATAATACCTATATTTTATAAAATGAATAAACTAGTAATTTAGATAAATTGGATAAAACGAATCCAATTAAAATTATTTCATATGTCACACATACTATCTATAACAACATCTTTCTATGGCAGATTTTTTGTTGAACTGTATTTTATTATATATATCAACTAAAAAAATAAATTTTCATGCATGAACCAAATACCCCACCAAAAATTTAATGGGGAAAGTGAATTGCATATAATAATAATAATAATAATAATAATAATAATACAACAATTGTTATTAATATTTATTTTGTTGGTAGTGGGAAATCAATTATGTGGTCAACCTATTTCCAAGAATGTAACGATCAACATAAACTTTTCCCTGGAAAAATTTTTCTGTATATATTTGATATAAATAAATAATTTTGATAAAAATAAGTCCTGTTCATTTATCTACCCTCATCAATTTCGTTTTTAAGTGGTTTATTTTTGAAGTCAATCTTTATTGCACTCAATAATTCGTTAAATTTAGCAAACGTGTTCATTTGTTTCAAGCTTTTTTATTGTCCAATATAAGAAATCTATTGTAAGCTCTCACTCGACTCATTATTTGGGGGAAGTGTTTATGTGTGGAATCATTAAAAACTTCCTAATTTAAAAATCCATATACATAATTGGACGTAATCTGTTGTTTTTTTTTGTATCGTTTGTGTTATATTAATATATAGAAGTAGAGGTCGTATTCAGATATTCATTCAATAATTAAATTAATTATTCAGCGAAAGTCAACAATAAATTTTAAATTTATTAATTCAATCAAAATTATTTCAAAAGCTTTGTTCTTTTTGTTTGGTGCAACCTCTCAAAATAAAATGTGTATTCTAATAATAATAATAATGACAGAAACCAAATAATCAAGTAAAGATTGATGATTTGCTCTCTTTATATGTATGTGCATTTACGATATTAAGGAATCTATATGTTTATTAATTGAAAAACTATTAAAATGCTAAATTTGAAATTAAGATTTGTTAATATTTTCCAATAACAATAATTAATATTTTGATGATGATGACGATAATGATAATGGTGCGATTACCAATCATAACCGCAATTCATAAATTATTTTTAGTCGTTTGGGGGTTTGTTGATTGTTGTTGTTTCGAATTTTTGAAGTGATGAACAAATAAAAACAATAAACAATAATCGTCATAAAAATTGGCATTCGTTTGCTTGAACATTTGGATTTGAAAATTGAAAAGCTATACGGTGAATGAAAAGGAACAAAAACGATTTTTTTAAGAAACCATTGAAAATAAAATTGTTGTTTAAAGATTTACCTTGGAAATAACAATAAAATGATAGATATTCTTTCATTATAATTTTTCCTGATGATTGTTATATATATATATATATATATAATAAACAAGATCCTTTTTATGATAATTTCCAGATTCGAATACTTTTCAATTCTCATTATTTATATTGCTTACATATATACGTGTGTGTGTGTGTGTGTGTGTGCACCCACAACCTCCCCTCCAAATGGGCGACTCCTTGGTC